CAGCCAATCCAAATCGTACGCCGCCTCATTGAACGAGCTGAAGCCACACGGCAGTCACTTTACACTATCTCGCTCGACTGGGGGAAAGCATTCGACAAGATACACCCAGACACCCAGATGCTCTTCTCACAGCTCTGGAGCCCTACGGAGTCCCTTCACACCTCACTGACTCATCAAAAACATCAACACCTCACCACAATTCACGGTGGCAGCAGCAGGCAAGCACAGCACAGGCGAGGAAGCCCGAGCAGGTACACGGCAAGGCTGTCCTCTGTCACCATACCTTTTCCTCATAGTCCATTGTATGGTGATGCATGACGTGGACGAGGAGCGTACAGCCAACGGGGAGTTCCTCCCATGGCTGTACAGCCAAAACCAACCTTTCTACGACCTCACACACGCGGACGACACAGCACTCATAGCAGGAACAGCACAACGCGCAGAACAATTGTTACACATCCCGCAGCGTGTGGCGGCTCACAGCAACTTACACGTCAACTTCAAAAAGTGTGTTCTGTTGAGATCACCCGCCTCACAGAACACTGTTCACTTCACCAACGGCACCCCCCCTCACAATCGAGCAACGCGCCAAATACATGAGAGATACCCTCAGCAGCAGCAGCAGCAGCGACGGCTCCACCCACAAAGACATAGTCACCAGAGTCGCGAAAGCGCGCAAACACTTTTACGCGCTGCACCAGTTCTGGCGAAACACCGACCTCACACTGAAGTGGAAGCTCCGCATATACAACGCGGTTTTCATTGCGCTCGTGACATACGGGCAGGACTCCGCAGCGCTCACAAAAAGAGAATACAGCAGATTGGAAGCATTTACTGCACAGAGATGCTTCACACACCACATCCACAAAGCACAGCTGATACAGCTGAAACCTTTCCAGTATAGAACGGAACTGCTGTTTTACTAGGCCATTTCGGTACAGAGGCGGCGGACTGACAGGAGGAGAGTCCACTGGACAGAACAGTGCACTGAGTTGCTTTGGCACCGGCTTTTAAAGTCCTTTAGACACCCCCCATCTCACAGCCCTACCTTCCGGTACTCGTATCTACAAGCTCACAGAACAGCTGTGGACCGCCAATTTTGGAGTACCCTGGTGAGGTTGCCAACGTGCAAGACAAGAAACACACTCCTGTTCAGTCTTCGCACAGCCTTCAGTTCGCGGGGAGTTGCTGCTGAGCGAGTTGCAAAGGGCCGCCCACAAACAGGGTTTGGTTGCCAACATCATCTCCATTTAGGGTTTGGCAGCCAGCATTCCTGTTTAGGGTTTACGGTCTTCAACAGCCAACATTTGCCTGTTTAGTTTAGGGTTTGGTAATAACCATTTGGATTGGTCTGGCTTGGCTTCGCTGGGCTAACCAGTATCTCCATTTATGGTAGGGGTTTGGCAACTTCTCCGTTTAGTGTTAGTGGTTTGACAGTGTGGGGGTTTGGCAACCAACAACATCTGCATTTGGGGCTTCGGGCTGGCAGCCAGTGCCGCAAATAGCACTTAACTGTGGCAACCAACATTTCCTTGTCGGTATTAGGTTTTGGCAACCAGGCTGCCCTTTTGGGGTTTAGGGTTTGGCAGCCGCGCGCTTCAGCGCCTGAGATTTGTTTTGATTTTGATTTGGCTTGGTTTCGTGTGATTTCACACGCCGCATTGATTTCCGTCCGTCCTTCCTAGCGATTCTGCTGCATGGCTCACGGTCGCAGATGTACGTACAATCAAGCTCAAACCCCCCCAAGCCCAACAATGCAGAAATCTTCAACGTAAAAAGTTGCTTGTACCATAAAGTATTGGAGTCCTCCGACGCAGGTGCAGGTGGCTCCAATGAGCATCTTTCCCACTTGGTAACTGAACATGTTCCTAAGATCGTATGTCCTTCCCAACAGATTATTTCTTCACGTATCTAGATCATATCCTACGACACGGAGACTCGCTGGAAAACATAGCCGCCTTCCAGACCGCACACGCGGCTCCATGAAAGACGCTCCGGCCCCGACTACGACGCAAGCCCAACAACGACGGTGCAGCCTTTCCACTAGAGGCCTTATCCTACGGCCCACCAAACGCACCATGACCTGTGAATGGATCGGAAGAGTTCTGCATGCGTTGCTTACAGCATTCGGATGGCGAAGATGCATCAACACGATGCAACTGCAAACTTACTGCGTTATGCTCTTTTCGACCTTACAAAAGAAAAAGCATTGCCAAAAGCCTGTATCGCTTGCCGTGGCTTTCGGTTTTTGGAAGATTTCGAAACCTGTGCTGGCATCGACAGCAAGCCTGCCGCAAATCGGTGCGAGGTCCTGAATTGAATGTGGTACATAACTGCTTCGTTTCAGACTTAGAAGAGGTTTTCACGGAGCATGTGTGTCAGCTGCTTGGCCATTTGACGACCAAGATGGCGGAGATGATTGATCCCACGTCATCTTCGATGGCAGAAATGCTACAACGTCCTTAAAGCAGGTGGGGCAAGGGCAGCACCGCTCGGCAAGCAGAGCCGGCAACTATCCGAAACGACTCGTTTGTTTCAACCTTCACGGCAGCTGCAGACTGAAAGGGTGGCATGCAAGCAAAGAAGAAGACTGCAAGTGTTGGAAGTGCCTAGACGAGACAGTAACCCGAGCGCAGGGTAGCATGATGCAAGAAGTTGCAGACAGTTTTCTCAGTAGTGCATCCCATTCGAGAGAAAGTCTTGGGGGTGAACATGAACAGCGTTGTGCCTGACGTCTGGATGTGAGTTGGGGAAACACCCGCCTCTCGACGACCCAGTCTTTTGGCACAGGCAGCTCGATGCCTACTGTACCTGGTTGTCGTTCAGGGGGGTTCAGCCCCCGGAGTTGCATCAGCGCGCGGTTAATCGCACCTGCGATACCTAGCACACACACACACACATAGCACACACCTCGTCGCCAGGAACGGGTCGAACGACATCATCGCATGCGTTCGGCTTGCAACTTTAGGTTCGTTCAACTCACCCTTCATGATAGGAAAACCTTCGCATGGATCCTGTCTTGCTGAATCCAGTGCTTCGCATGTGCCGAATTGGAATTGTTCCCCGCGCGTTTGGCTGGTGTGGCTCCTAAAACCAGCTGCGATGGAGCATCCGGCTTGCATTTTGAAGGAAACAAGCATGGCATCGCAGCACAAGGGGTCGCTACGTGGACAGCAATCAAGCTGGCGCCGGTCGTGTGGTAAGACGTGTGGTGCAGAGGGACGTGCGATTTGCCTGCGTGACAGGGGTAACAAAACGATGGACAAAAGGGCTGCCTGAACTGCGCACGGTTGTGGCTGCCCTGTCCGTCAGCGCGACACCAAACACGAAGGTTTGCAGCAGACTGCCATGCCCTTCGAGGTGGCTTGCTAATGCTGGTGAAACGCGGTCAGCATTGACTGCCCAATGGCATCGGACACAGTTGACCTTGAAAGACGAAGATGCCCGAGCACACGTCCATGCAAGCGATGTTGACATGATTATGAAGGGTGGTATTATGCAAGGGGTGGGTGGTTTTGAACTATTGTCCGACTATGTAAAACTTTGCACCGTTTGCACGTACGGTCAACGCATTCAATAAAGAATCGTTGGGAATAAGAAATGAGTATACCCTACCTAAATTCTTTGATTCCTAACCCACAGCCTGGGTTAGGACTTCTGCAGCCAAACGGCGAGAGTTTCGGAATCCGCCCGAAGGCAGTTATAGTGGAGGGTTGAGAAACTGATATTAGCTGTATCGGAGGGTTTAGGATGTTTGCAGCAAATCGGCGAAAGTTTCGGAATTCGCCCGAAGGCAAATGGTAGAGGGTTGAATATATGCTGTCCCTGAAGCTATGGAGGGGGAGCAGGGACGCAAATGCCAAGGGACCCGTAAAATTGAAAGGCGCAGGATTTAGAGAATTCGCGGCTCGAAAGCTTCAAATCCTGCGCTTTTCAACTCGGGCAGAAGGAGAGAGCCAAAGGACGCAAAAGTTGAAAAGCGCAGGATTCGGAGACTTCGCGGCCCGGAAACTGCAAATCCTGCGCTTTTCCACTTTCGGCTCCTCTCTGTGGGTCCTCTGGCCCTTGCCACCCTGCCTGAGTTGAAAAGCTTCAAATCCTGCGCTTTTCAACCGGGGCTAGGTCGTCGGCCCACAGCTCTAGTAGTTAGGGTTTAGGGTTTCTGCAGCAAATCGCCCAGAGTTTCGGAATTCGCCCGAAGGCAAAACCCCACAGTGGGAATTAAGACAGCAGAAACGTGCCGTTTCTCATCAAATCCACGCCCCGTAGTGCAGCTCGCCGTGCAGATTGGAACGTTGTGGCATACAAGATAGGATTGCCCGACCCGCAGCGGCGCTCACTTTGAACATCTCTCTCCCCCAAATTTGCCTTTGTGCTTTGTATGCTTTCTGAAGCAGCTTGAGACGGAGGGCAGATGGATGTAATGTGGATGTAGCGACGAAACATATGGAAACCCATCGGGTTGCGAAGGATTTTTCCTCCACGATTGCTACTCCGACTATGTATACTGACAATGCTACTGTCGCTTATTGGAAAGAGTGTTTGTGCATGTTTGCAAGCTGTCAAGGCGATTCAACAAATCTCGAAACAGAAGCGGCGCACCATGCGCAGGCAGGTGGGCCGGCTCTGTCTGAATCCGAACTGTGTCTGCGCAAAAAGTATCCAACTGCGAACCACTTCTGGAAGAGGAGATGCAGGCATCCATGGAGACCAACTTTTCTGACCTGGCTCTATCTTTCGCAAACTTGGATTGAGCGCTGAAAGTTTCACCAGGGTTCTTCTAGAGCCTGCTTAGGCTGGTCCAACTTCGCGGGACAGGACCAAAGCCTCTTGTGCGGCCAGGCAATGCAAGCGGGCCTTCGGCCCACGAATGCTGACAATTTCAGCACCGGTTTCACACCTAGACAGCGGCCGTGATCGACCCTGGCCTCGGATACAAAGCAACCTGTGCTGGGCAGCGCTGCATCACATGCTCGCTTGCACGCCATGAGATGGGCCAGGTCCAGATGCGACGTCAATGACTACTTCGTGATGTATTTCGAGGGCCATGCTACCGCGTTAAGTGATCCTGACCGGCAGGCCCGAGTCTTACCTTGATTCAGTTTCGAACAGCTCATATTGATCTCTGCATGTTTGGAGGTTTCCAAGTTGTAGGAGAGCGGCATGCTGCATTGCTTATTAGCCTGGTCACAGCACGGACTCCGTGGTGCTACGGATGCTCAGCTGGATAGACACTCCCATGGAGTAGATATCAGGTTGAGGAAGCCCAAACTGGAAAAGTAGATCAACAATGATTGCAAGACGGACAACGCTGGTCTTGGGAACCGCCTGCATACCGGGGCCGGGCTTGGCCCCTGACAACTCCGGCATCTTGCGAGGCATCTGCAGTTTCCCGGGTGAAGGAAACGTGCCCAAAAGTTCCAGGGAGCCGACTTGGCTCAGACCGGCTTTGTTTGCTGCGGCGCAAAGTTTGCATCTTATCGGAAATTCCGAGCAAGACACCTGGCTGAAACGAGATGCTGAGGGCCTTCACGATGAGGCGCTTGTCCTTGTCGACCCAAACGGGAAGGCCACGGGAAATGACTTCTCAATCGCGTCGTCATGTGCCGTGGTGGGTCTTTGGGTCGCCCGGCTGCACCGAGGCTTCACCAGCAACCTTGTTTCTGGAGGAGGAGTTTACGAGCCTTGCCCATTGGTTGCATTTGCAGTTGGCAGCTGCCGTTGCAAGTAGCCCGAGGGATCCATCCATGGGCAAAGGGGGGGAGGTGCTTGCAGGGATGTGTACTGCTCGCTTGCTTGGTTTCCGTTGCTGAGTCAGTGCCCCAAGGTGCTGGAGAATTTCAAGCCACAGACACGGGTCATCGTTCTGACGGTGCGCGCCAACCTTTTTGTTGCAAGTGGGAGTTGGTGCCATGCTGGGTCCAACGAGGATGCCGGACATGAAGTGGCGGTTCTAGACCTGTCTCAAGAGCGCTGGCTCACTTCTCAGAAGGGTTTACATCTGCCTTGGTCATGTTCATCACAGAAGCAAAGGTGAAGTACCTCCTGTCCGCAAGTGCTTTCAACAGCCTAGTAGCCGGTGCACTACATATATAGCTGACACCTACCGACTTCTTCGCCTGCTGGCTTCAAGCTTACTCGATAGCTTCCCTAAAGCCACGGTGCGAGCGCACAGCCAGAGGCAGGAACAGTTGAACAGTCTGGCTTGCAATCCTGGAAGCCACGTCGTTTCATCGCCTCTGGGCCCACCCACGTGCACAGGTGACGTTGCATGGAGGTCTGATTCCCGGAACGGACCATATTGTCTCCCTCGTGTTCGCAAGCTGAGAGCTAGCAGCTAGCATATGGATCCCAAGCAACAGAGGGTTGGTGGCGGCATTTGGCATTGATGTTAGCTTGCTGAGGCGGATGAGGATCTGCAGCAGAAGCTTCGAGATGCCTTGGAGGAGGCACTCGCTCAATTCGGATCCGGCCATCACCCCTCAATGCGAGCCCTGTAGGTTCACCACTTGCGTGATCGCGTGAAGAAGCTTTGCGATGAGGTGGAGCAGGCGGTGCAACATGACACTAGACATATCCTCAATCACATAACTTCATCTATTATCCTCCCGTTTCCTGGCAGGTGCCGGCAATACCATGCACTGTCGCTGAACCAAAACCACCTATGGAGCTCGAAAAAGCAAGTGTCACGGGCTAAGCCTTGTCGCTCGCCAGATAAGCTTGACAGCCTAGAGATCCCGGCACCTCTCCAATGTCCCGACTGCACGGTACCACGGGTTGTGGTGTCCTGGGCCCAGGAGTGTCACGCAAGACTCCAGCAGCTGCTAGCAGGCTGCGAGGAGGCCAGAGCACTCAGAGAGCACGCGAGACGCGCGCGCCTTCTTCGCAGAAGCTTCTCTTGTGCTCCCAGCACTGGCCACGGCAGCGTCGGGGTTTCGATGAGCAAACTCTGCCGCTTTGGCCTGGGGCGCAAGTCGTCGACTCCAGAAAGATCAACCCAGTGTCCCTGACGATTTGAGGCTCCACAACAAAATCCATATTGTATGCACCTGCAAGACCCCTCTGAGTGGCCCTGACTCTACTCCTTGACATAGGCTCGAAGTTTGAAGTTCTGGGACCTGGCAGGCTTTTGGTCCTCTTCGGAGGCAGGCACTGGAGCAAAAGTCTCAGCCGGATCGCAAGGCTGAGCGTCAAAGGTCTGAACCTTACTTGTGGTTCGATCGGGTTAGACCGAAGAATTAATCGAACCCGCAGCCAGACATACCTGTTCAGGCGTCTCGCTGCAGAGTCCGCTGCTCAGCCTGTTCTCTCCCGCAAATCAGATGTCCCAATTCGTGCTGGAATTTATCTGCCAAAAGCTGATTCACAACTTCACAGGAAGAGTGAGCTTCACGACTTGGAGCAGGACAGATGTCGTTCGACAGACGATGTCGCTCTTGATCGTCGGTGCATTCCGTCCTGATTCGAGCTCTGAAGGAGCTCCAGTTGGTCCATCTGCAGTCGATGCTGCCGCCTGAGTCCCGTAAAGAGAAAAAACACGATATTATCAGCGTCCAAAGCAGGCGCAAGGACCTGCAACTTGGCAGTGGGCCGTCAGGCCAGCGCAATTTCAAGAGCATGCCGTCCAGCCATAAATGTGACACACAACATGGCACGAGCATGTTGTGTCTGGAGCATGTCGGAGGTCTGGAGAAGACGGAGCAAGACGACTCTCAAAGTGGGCTCGTCGATGAGCTAGGCTGGTCCGATGTCCGTTCCGCTCCATCGTGCAGGTCTGCACACACACACACACAGACGCACACTTTGGAAGCTTACTGTCGATATCCGGTCACATGGTGTGTTGCTTTCAGTCGCTCGACTCGCTGTCGCCTGAAAGAGGTGTTGCAGTGCCCAAAGGCGTGAGCCTCCTTGGCAAGGCGAAGGCCGGCTTGTGGATTGGCCCCGATGGTGCTTCCTGCATCTTCCTCCCAGGCTCCAGGCCCACCGCCAGGCGCAACCACAGGTATGCAACCAGTCAAAGCTGAAGAGCAAACCGGAGCATCAGTTTGCTGCAGGCCATGGCAATCGCTCGCCTCGGGGCTCTCTGCCTAAACCGCCACCACCGAAGGCCAAGGGCAAAGGCCCGGGAGCCGCTCCGCCGCCCAGCAAGGCGCGCCTTGGGCTCCGTGACTGCGTGACTGCTCTATTGGGCCACCCCCGGCCCTTTTGGACTCGAGGCCAAAGCGAGAAGCCTAGCAAGGGCCGCGACCTCGGCGGTGCAATTTCCGCTCAACGCATACTTCGACAGAAATTCTACAACGTTTTTTTCTTGTCATGGTCTAGTTCAAGCTCTTCCAGCGAGGCATTTACCGAGTCAGAGATAACTGGCTTGCGGGACGATCCAGCTACTTTGCCTGCAGCAGCCTGCAGCTGCGATGCATATGCCATGTTGTTCGAAGCTGGCCCGCGCACAGGTGCGCCATTCTGCCCGTCTCGTGAACCTGCATTGGCGAGCCTCGCAGGGACCGCCAGAGGACAGGGCCGGTTGTACAGTGCGGGCTACGACAGCACTGAAAAAACGATGGCTCCTTGCGGAGGAAACTGAGATTGATGTTGGCAAAGATGGGCGTCTCAGATGCAGTCTTCGTGATGTTTTTCTCGCTTTAAATTTGTTGCCGAAGTCGAGGCATCAATCGGCACAGTAATTGGCAGATGTCAGTTTCAGGTACCTGCAAGGCATGGCCAACATGATGGACAGGTGGGACCTGGATCGAACGGACAGGATGAGGCGAGAAAGATATCCTCGACATGTGGTTCCGTCATGTTCGCCATGCAACGTCCTGTAGCGACAGGCAAAGTATCACGTGCTTCGAGAATCGCGTCGGCTTATCAGCTGCCAAAAAGGGAAGCTTTGTCGAGGTGCAGATCGCTGGCGCTTTTCGTTCAATCCAAAAGACTCGCTTCAGTTGCTGAAAGAAAGCTTTGAGGAGCAGAGCCTGGCTGAGCCAAAGCACAGTTTGCTGGCTTCGGGAAGACGCCGTCGAAGAACTGCGACTTAGCTGAGGCTTCGATTTACAGCGCAAACATCTTTACGTCGAAGTCGATGCAGGTTCAGGGCGTGCTCATATGACGGCAGCTCTTGAAGTCAAAGCGCCCAACCTTACTGTATCCAAGGTGTTCAATGGCATGACAGATATTCCAGTACCAGAGTTGCAGAGCCACCAGCTAGAGGAATTCTTCCAAGCTCGTGCTGCAAGCTTCGACATTTGTGCACGCGCGTCTTGTGCCACAGATGTGACTTCGTTGATTGCAGCTTAGCAGCATGTCATCCTCGACGATACTCATCTTGCCGGGTGTATTGGATACTGCAAACTGCAGTCCAAGTACACGAGGTTGACAGCACTCATCAAAGAATACTGGATCTGATGGTGCGTGGAGCTGCAATCCACAAGCAGGCCAACTGCTTGATTGTAGTTTTTTTTCTCGGAATCTGAAAGCATGCAAACCCGAAACGCTAGAGGATGGTGTGGAGAATGCTGTCTCTGACCTGCTTGCGGCCCTTCTGAGCTGCGACACCTCTCGGTTGAGCAGCTCCGTCCTGAGTGTCCCTTGGCTAGTTGAGCCTGCTTTTGCAGATGTGGTTTGCTGCTCACATGCATTCCTCCACGACTTGGTGTCATGCTGTCTGCAACCAGGACCTGAGAAAGGTCGTACCGTCGTATGTGGATGGCAGCAATCCGAGCATTGTTTCTTTCGTCGACAGCAGGGGAGTTGAAGCTCTGTCAAGGCGTGGATGCTAAGGGAGAGAGGTCCTTCATCCCGATTGCACGCTGAATGTCGCCCGCAGGCTTGAGCATCCACATCTACATCATCTGTTATATGGAGTGGTTCGGATACCCGCAATAGTTGCAAGGCAAGGAGCTGCGTTGGACCAGACAGGGTGGTGTTATGGCGTTTTCGGAGACTACTTGCTTGCAGATGTTGCCTTCCACTCTCGCTAGCTCTCCACTTTCGCGGAATACGAAACTGCGCGCATTCTGGCTGATGCGTCGGCCCAGTCGCCATGTGCAAGATCTCCTAGTCTTGCGTGCCTTATGCGTCATGTGCTCCAGGCCCAGAGTTCCAGATCTCCAAGCATGCATAATGCAAGCCCTCAGCGGTTGCAATTTTCGTAAGTGCATAATTTCTAGCGTCCTCGTTCTACAAAGCGGCAGACTCTGGCTCAGTGTCTGGCAACTCAATGGAAACCAGTCTGCATGTGACATGGCACAGTTGGCGAATGAATCTGCCTCAAGGCCGCTGTATTATGTGGATACCCATAATTCCCAAATAATACAGCGACTGCCATTGCCTGGCCCGCCGGACATGTTCAAGTTTTGCAACCGCAGGAGCACTCTTAACCCAGACGTCCGAGTCGTTTGCAGGGTCCGGCTAAGCTTGGGCTGAACGTTCGGTTCTGAGTCGGACGCGGCTCTGCAACCTCTATGTTTCCTCAGCCTGGGAGACACAATTTGAGGGTTGCGCCCGACAGGTTAGTCTCGTTCTGGCAGCCTTCCATTAAAGGCGGCCTGCAAGCAGGGTCACGACTGTCAGCCAGGCTGGAATGCATGGCCTTCGTCCAGAAGTTCCCAGAGGAACTTGAGACATGCAAGGAGAACCTAGACTCTCTTCGACGGGCCTTGGTTTGCATCTGTATCTTTGCTGCGCTGGCTTTTGGGATGTCTTCGGCCAGTTTCCGGCATTGCATGGCATTTCAAGGCAACCGGCTTCCTGCTCTACGCCGTTTTTGGGCTACGGTGTTACAAGCTGGCAACGCTTTGAACAGTGGCTCCATGGCGAACACGACCGAGCGAGGCTTCAGACTTGCGAGCACCCTGCAGAATCAGTGAGAGATAACACCATAGTGTGTACCACTTGGGATGTCAGTGCATCAGCATAATGCTTCCCGCTTTTCTCGGCAATTGAGGTATTTCCAAGCTGTTGGACTTGCGATCGCCGCTTCGCCGTGATGTCTCCCTATTCCACTTTGTTCTGTTGCACTTGCAGGCGAGCGATGTGCAGGACCTTTGCTCTGCAGACTTTGTGGAAGCCCTGCAGTCTGCCTACCTGAGACGTGGTTTCACAGTGCACCACGACACCATCAGTCATTTAGAGGGCTTTCGCCATATCGAAAGTTTGGTGGACACCGGCACGTTCAAGGGAGAGAAGATCGCTGTTATGCCAGCTCAGAGCAGAGCTGGCACAGATGCTCCGGTCGAGCATGGAGACCCTTTCTTTTCTTGCATGCGGGACTTTGCCGCAACTTCACGCGAAGCTTGTGCAGACATTTGGAGCTTGAACGCAGAGATTCAGCGAGCCTACAAGCAACTCAGCCTTTATTTCGACGATCCTGCTTACGTCTATCCTCCACCGAAAGATGACCAGGATGGCAAGCGAGACCTGTTTGGTCTTCTGCACAGCTTCGTCTCTGATTGCGTCAGAGTCAGACAGGAAATCGATGTTTCGGACTTTCCTGCAGAGGTGCGGCTGCAATGCCGCTTCACTCCTCCGTATTTGGATTCTGACTCATCAGATAGCTCAAGTGAGCACTCGGTATCGCAGCGAGACGTGGAGCGCAAAGCCTTGGCAGAAACGCTTGGACCGGCTATCCACGCACTGCGGAACAGCATGCCGAGTCCGCAGAGACCACCGAGGACACTCTCAGAAGGATCGCCGCCGTGCGAGGCAGCCCTTTGTTCCGGATTATTTTTTGGTTATGTGTTGTTGCGGTGCAAACTGTGGATCTCGGTGAACATGCAAATCGCAAAACGCACCTATTCAATTGACACTGCTTGGTAGACTTTGTGCTCACAATACACAGTCAAGCTTCGGCATTGTAGCTCGGAGATGCATCGGCCATAAAGACGTATGCGCTCAGCCACCGCACTGACTTTCGCACATGCGGAAGCCTTAACCGTACCCAGCCTAGACGTGTCCAGGTGAGCGCTGAAGCTCGAAGCTCGGTGACTCCGAGTGCGGGCTTGCCTCCGGCAAAGGCTCCTCCGGCACTGGTCAGCCCCACCCTGCTGACCTCGCCCGACAAGAAAGGGCCCTTGCTCAGCGGCCCGTGCAAGATGGAGATGCCTTCCGTGCCTCCGCCAGATAGAGCACCCAAGCGAGCCTCACAAGGCCGATCCACGTTGGTGCTCGGAGCTTCCCCGCTGCAGCTGTCGCCTGGGACGGGGCACCCACAGGCCCTGAGCCCTGTACTACCGACGACGCCTGGATCCACCGGATCGCGGCAATGCAGGACGCCAGAACCAGTATACGACAGGTTTCTCGTCCAGAGTTTTGTACTTTCTACTCAGCACATTCTTGCACACATGTGATGTCGTACTTGGTGGAAGACTGCAGGCTTGCTCGCAAGAGCCTTACAAGGCAAGTCGACCGTGACTGTGCTGAATGTCTCGGCGCCAGCGCTGCGCGAATCCGTGGTGACTCTGGATCGTCCCTGCTGCTTGATTGCCTGTGCGGTTCATGTTACTCACACTAATTACTTTGCTTCACTGTTTGCAAAGTCCAAGGAATTACACAAGCTCCTCCCAAACCTCATGTTTAAGCGACCTGGCTGCACCCCACAGTGTCTGGCAGTCACGAAGGCATTTTGCAGGTAGACCCTCGATGTCGCCTGATGTCTTTTCACCTGCATGCCTTTCGCGATGTATGCTCCCAAGCTGTAGTACATCACTGGCAGCTACTATTCTAGTCGATTTGGGGCCATTTCGTCGCCTCGGCGGTCGTGTCTTCCTTCTTCCTGGCCTCGCAGTGCTCATGTCTCGGCGGATAATCGACATGGCGAAACTTAAGGCGCTATGGAGCAGCTTCCCCGGCAATGCATTCACGAGACATTTGCTCCGATGGGACTTGGTGAACCGATTAGTGGAAAAGCCCGAACGGCTTAGCATGCTTGAGTTGCTGCTGCTGGCTCGCCAGTTCTTTGCCTTGCATGCAGTGCTGGGCTTGTGCAGCTTACTGCTGCAGCTGCTTTGGCGTTCGGTCACGCTTGCTGGCATATGGAACGTGGCATTCCCCCTGGCTGGAATGCATTTTGCAAGGCATGAGGGAATGGGAAGCTACAGAGCTGTTCGGTGGTGGACCGCTTTCTGGTTGTTGGAAACGCTATTTACACTCATTCAATCAGTTGGTCGCACAGGAACAGTGATAAATGCTCGGGCCATGGCAGCCTACGGCATTCAATGGCTCGCTTTGGCCAGGCTTTGGTGCTGGTTGTATGTGCAGCACATCGCATCAGTTCAGTTCTACTTGAACATCGTCATTGAGAGCGGCAAAGATCTGTTTTACACCAGAACCACAACAACCACTGGACGCACCAACAGGAGCTCATCAGTGGATCTACTGGCTGGCCGGGTCTTGGATGACAAGTATGCCTCACGGCTTGCAGAAGGAGTTGAGAAGATGATTTGCGAGAAGCTGCGTGATGAGGCCGCGATCAGTGCCAAGGCCAAGAAGCACTTCCAGCGTGGCAACTTGATCGTCGTTCTCGTGTCCATCGAGCGAGTGAATTTGAGAAAGATGCTGGAACTCAAGGGGGAGCAGCATCGCTTGCGAAAGGTCGACATCATTATGAAGGTGGTGCGGCAGTTGCCAATTCCATTAAAGTTCGATTTGGAACAGGTTGTCCTATCTCAAATCTGTCGCAGCATGATAGAGCAGGTCCCCTCCAAGTTGACACGACAGATGTGCGAGATCGGGGGTGTCAATGTGGATGTGGAGGCGAAGACAAAGGAGGAGCAAGCAGACTTCCTGCTCGATGCCATGAGGCAATTAGATGAAGAGGATATCTTAGAAGCTCAAAACCGCCACACCATCGCAGTTGGTGGGGACGAAGTGTGGCCGTTTATGTGTGGTTATGGACATGCCAAGGTCCGCCATGTTCCAACCACTGCATGCTATCCACGTCAAGTTACGTGTGGCATATCCTCCCAGTTTGAGTGACTTCCGGAGAGGAAGCCGGAGCTTCTTGCAAGAGTTTCACCACGTTCAAGCAAGTGGCCAGCCCTGCACAGAGTTCATGGCTGAGATTCGTTTAGAGGGCGGCGGAGAACACTTGGATGCCAGGGACACGCTTAAGCCCATGCATTGCCCCATGTCTTGCCATATGGCACAGCGCCCATTGGGCAGGTTCGGGTCAGGTTTGATGCAGCCTGTGCAGTTTGAACGATGAGCCTTAGCTTGCGGAGGTCCGGTCTCTTCTGGATCTGGAGAGAGTGCGAGGTCAAGCATTTGCCCGTCCGACCTCAAGACACAGAGCCTTCCTTCAACTAGTGTGCGAGAAGTTCTCTGCTTAGGCTGTGTCCACTTGGTGTCCCCGCTGAGGCTTCGGGATGTTTGGAAGCGAAGAACTCACACCGGAGGCCGAGAGGCCGAGCCTCCTCGTGCGCTCAGAAGCCCAACGCCCGCCGAGGCACCAGTCCCATAAGTCCGAACTACTTTGTTAGGGCTGTTAGGCTGTCGAAGGCTCTTGGAGTTTCGGGCTGACAGTCAAAGACGGCCGCAACAGGTTAGCGTGACGACGGTCAGTGAGCGAGCAACTGTTCGCGAAGACACGAAATCGTCAGCGTGTTTAATCATGAGCACCTGTTCTTCATGCACTGTGCACTTGCGTTGCGAGGCGGCCTGGCTTAGCATGGAGTTGTCGGCAACCACGCCCAGGCGGTCGAGGATGATGGAGTTCCCCCGTCACAGCCGCAGCCATTGAAATCGCAAGGGTCATTTGCATCGCAAGTAGGCCATTGCAACTTTTCATTTAATTGTCTTTGTTGCACTGCCATGACCTCATGGTGCACATAGGAAGTTCGGAGATGTTTGCTGGAAGGACCACATCGCTTTCACCAGTGAAAGAGCAGGGAGAGACCCCTCACAGCGTCTTGGTTTCGAAATCGTTGGCAGTGGTCAGAAGCTGCCTGCAATGGGGCCCAGCCACATTCTGGAAGAGCCCAGGACCCGTTATATGTCAATAGCTGGGTGCAGCTGGTTGGCTGGGAGATGCTGGGAGCCTGTTGGATTTGAGTCGAATTTGTCAATGGGAGGCTGCAAGGCTGTTAGGGCATGTGAGCAAGCAGCAGGCAGCTTGTCACAGCATTGCCGAGGCCTCTCAGCTGCTTTCTGACCTCCAGCAGGTTCATGGAATTGGTGGCAGCTATGGGAACCACAAAAGTTCAAGATTATGACAGAAACGTCGGTCCCAGACTCTGCTGCCACCGTTGTAGCTATCTTGCACTCAGACATCTAATTCCAGAAGGCGCTGCAAGCCGTTTCACCGTTAATCTAGTTATGCTTCAAGATGCTCAACACAAGCTTGTGTGGAGATTCCATCGTCGCGTGAAGAAGTCCCGCACATATGTTGCCGCTGGTAGAGTGTGGGTACCTTTCGCTTGAGAGCCAGAGGAGCTGGTTGCCGTGAATTAAATAGCACGCCCGAAACCCCACAACACTGCGGTTTTCTGTCCGCACACTGCAAGGAAGGCACGCCAGATCGTTTCCATTTCTGCCATTGAGGTGTGGCTCTGCTTGCTTCCCGAGTGGCAAATGCCTGGATGGGTAGTGCTGCTGATGCCAGGCAGTGCGGTCGAGCGGCGAGGATTGCCGAAGAGGCATATTTGTGCACGTTGCTGCCTCAGTCGCTTCATCCCGCCACCGAGTGGACAGCCGATAAGCAGCATTATATGTTCCATCAGTGGAAAATTTGTGTGGCGAAGTGCTCAGTCACGAGGTAACGTACGACCTCCACCCTTGCCTGACCTTCTGACATTAGCGTGCATTGTCTGCCCTCAAGGCCCACCACACCCCCAGACAATTCAGGCTCACGCGGAAAGGGTTCGCCGTGCCTGGCATTTCAGGCTTTGCTTCTTGCAATCGACAAGCTGCAGCCTGCTCAGTCACAGCCGTTGTCCGCCTTGCGCCCGTACTGAGCAAGAACGGCATAAGTGTAATGAGCAAGCTTAGGTCGAAAGTTGGACGCGACAACTATTCGGTCCTGCTCCCGGCGTGAGCTGCAGGAATGAATAGCGGCCGCGAATTCCTTCATCGTGAAGGTTGGCATGCTATTCAACGCATGGCTTTTGGAAGATGAGCTTGTTTTTCGCGGTCTGCAGGCCGTCCTCTTTCGTGTAAGCGGCCTGAAGAGGGGATGCTGGCCCCTTGTGTGGGACGTGGTCAGGAGATCGAGATACAGGCACCTTCAGACTTCAGTCCCGATGCAATGGCTTGGCCTTTGGTGCCACCTGTCGCGACCCGAACACAACCAGTCATGAGCATGGTTTGTATCAGCGCCTTGCCACACCAATCTGCAACACAGCCGGCTCGAGGCTCGAGGCACAAACTTTGCAAAATTGTGAAGGGACAGTTTCATGCAGATTCATGCATAACATGTTTTGCCCCTTGCAGTTTTGATTCCCTCACGCCAGTCAAGCAATCGCCACCTGTTTTAGGATATAAATATACCGGCTTACTAGCCATACAACTTCCGACGGTAAAGGCTGCAGACACTCCGACTGAGAGAGTATGATGATGTCGAATGGCAGCTGCTGTCGGATTTGGCCAGTGGCGAAGTGCTGCTGCGGGTGCGGCAGCGAGCCTGCTCGTCACGTGGTTGCTTTCGCAGCCACAGCGAGTTGCAGCTGACCGGCTCGCTGCGCACTACCTGTTGCCATACCTATCAGACTCGCCTCCCAGCAGTGCCTTTCCTGAACGACGTGTGGGCATCATGCCACCTGTCTTTTGTGCATTAGCAACAAGCTGTTTCCTACATGTGCATGAGGTCAAGTGACCGTGGAGTTCTGCAACCTGTTCCGGACCGTGAGGGTGCATGAATCCTCCTGTCGCTTATGCAGTCTTGCCTCGTCAACAGTCACGGAGCTCATGCTTCGGCCAGGATTGTGGAGAAGCCCTATTACGTCATTTTCGCTTCATGTTGGGTGTGTGCGCTGATGCAGCAACTGATCGACACGTCGAGATACTACGAGGAACGCTACGAGGAGTTGAGCAAAACGTAGCTTGAAGCAGTGGCTCGCGAGAACTGCGACAACTGCTCAGCCCACAGCACCAAGGCAGAAATGCTACGTTGGGATCCAGCTCTTGACGAAGCTCGGCCGTCAGTAAAACCTCGAGTCTTGGACTCCGCGTCGGCTGCATGAAACGCAAGTCTTACTTCCTAAGCGGTCTTGTGGCGAACTAAGGCCTGCATAGAGGTGTATTTCTTGTCCAAGCAAGCGCAGAATCACAGGAACTCTCCAGACAGCCATAAGTCAGGAACTTAAGAAAACAAGCAAGTTCAAATGCAGAATCCGAGGAACTCTCCAGGCAGCCATAATTCGGGAATCTAAGGAAGCAGGCCCGTTCTCGTAGCTTCAACTTTTGTTTTAACAATGACGTCTGCAGCAAAGCTGGCTATGAAGGAATCCAGGAACTCACAGAGGAGTTGAGAAGAAGTGCCCGTAGCCAGCTTTTACCCGCAAGCCGAATGCGAAGTGGCAATCGCGTGCAGGTTGGTAGTTTCGAGGAGTGGCAACTTCAACTGTCAAACGAACGAGGAGTGCCAGTGTAGACCCCACGTGGCGGCAAATCCTAAGATACAGGCAGTTTGAAAGAACAAGGACAAGTACTGTGTAATGGCAGACATTCTATAGGTGCAGGCAACGGTGTGTCCTGAATGTGTGGTCAACATCACAGTCCTTGCTCCGAGCGTTGCCAGAGGCTGGTAGAGTCCTCGCAAATCCAACGCAAGAGTCACAGGAGGTAAGGCAACTGCTAGACGGGCAGCGAATTTGACATCTGTTGTGCATCATTCACGCAAAACGTCCTCCACGAAAGGGCTCATGCAGCTAATGACCGTTGTACAAGTGCAACCGGCAAATTCAGGCACCACTTCCGGGAAGTGCAATCGTGCTCAAGAAGCAGCATAGATTGCCGGAAGTCTTCACGGGTGTTTATTTCGATAAGAATCGGAATCGGGCTTGACGTGCGAGAGGATTTAGTCAGAAGCCGTGGCAGCCGAGGCTCGTGATGGAAACTCTGGCTATCGTTGGCAAGATTGATTGGCTTGCTGGCGAAAGCTTGTGGCACATGTACAACTTGCACCTCTGCTGGTTCAGACGAGCAGACCACCACGACCAGATGCAGTAAGCACTTCCATTGGCATGAATGCTCTCTCCTTTGGTTAAGGTATGTGTATGTCTTTGTGCACTCGTCCGTCTTTGTGCATCCCGGCTGACAGCTTGGGTTTCCGCCCCTTAAACCCAAAAATTACACCCCTCAAGCCCTAAACGGGCCCGTCCTTGCGAAGTAGTAGGCAAAATCCTTGAATCCTTATAAGCAGCTGGTCAGTCTCCCTCAGAAAGCTTTGAAGCACATAACCTGACCCATGGAATAAGGGATGCATTTTGGCGCATGTGGCTTCATCTGGACTGTCTGAGCTGTTAGAGTCTAGGCGCTCGATCATGATGTCGATGATCATCTGGGACTGGCTGCTGGCACGCCTGCTGGGCCGGCCAGTCTTTGGAGCGGCTGCTTGCCTCGGGTCCGCTTCGTTCTTGGGTGATTCATGATTCTCTTCCTGCTCCACCTCCTGCTACTGCAACTAATACCACAACTGCTACTTCTGCTTCTGCTTCTAGTAGTAGCAGTAGTAGTAGTAGTAGTAGTAGTAGCAGTTGTTGTAGTACTAGTAGTTGTAAAAGTCGTAGTAGTAGTAGCAGCAGTAGTAGTGGCACTAGTAGCAGCAGAAGTAATAGTAGTAGTAGTAGTAGTAGTAGTAGTACTACTACTACTGCTACTACGACTGCTAGTACTACGAGTACTACCACCACTACTACTATTGCTGGTACTGCTACGACTGTTGCCAGTACCACTACCACCACTACTACTACTACTACTACTGCTGCTACTACTACTACTACTGCTACGACTACTACCACTACTACTACTGCTACTACTACTACTACTACTACTACTAGTACTTCGAGGACTGCGAGTAGTGGTACTACTACTACTACTACTACTACTACTACTACTACTACTACTACTACTACTACTACTACTACTTCTACTACTACTACTACTACTACTACTACTACTACTACTACTACTACTGCGAACGTTAGTGGTTCGGTAGTTTTTGTTGTTTTGGACAGCGAGGGGGCAGTAGCCTGTGAACTGTACGCCGTTAACCTGATATATGTACTGCCTTGCCATTTGGAGGGCGATGGCCGACCTGAAGAGTGCCCCGCCCCGTAATCCTTTGTTCCTCGACGACCCATTGCCTTGGGGGTCTAGGGTATTGCTGGGCTACTGTGGGACGTTATGGGTCGTCTGGGAATGGAGGGGTCGTAGTTGACGTGTTACCTGCCGAGCAGAGTCGTGAGACGCTGACAAGTGGGAGCCAAAAAATCTACTACTACTACTACTACTACGACTACTACTACGACTACTACTACGACTACTACTACGACTACTACTACTACTACTACTACTAAGGAGGCAAAAAAAACTACTACTACTACTACTACTACTACTACTACTACTACTCCCCTCGCTCGTAGACGATTTAATACCTGCAGAACAGGGTCCGACGGACGCTGACAAGTGGGAGCCAAAACTATTACTACTATTACTATTATTACTACCACTACCACTACCACTACTACTACTACTACTACTACTACTACTTCTACTACTACTACTACTGTTACTACTACTACTACTACTACTACTACTACCACCACCACTACTACTACTACTACTACTACTACTGCTGGCCCTGCTCCTGCTGCTGCCACTACTACTGCTACGATTACCAGCAGCAACGCCAAGATTCTCTCTGCGGATTGCTGCGTCTCCTGCTGCTGCCACTGATGCTGCTATTGCTGTCGGCCGCCTGCACGCTTTAAGGAGTACGACGGCCAGGGATGGCGTGACTGGCATCGAGCCGTTCTCCTCATCATCATCATGCAGTTTCGTGACATGCACTTACCCCGATTGCTTGAAATGGCCTTGATGAAGAGCGAGCAGCAGCGCTTTAAAGCCTTGTCACTCCTCCACTGCCGAGTCAAGGTTTGTCGTTTCCTCGCTCACACTTGTAGCACTGTCGAGGGAAGTTTCATCGGGGCAATGCCTGCTGGAGCATGACGGGTATCATGCCTGGCCCTCGAGTGTCATTCCACATCAGTGAGGTTCGGATCTTCAGTGTTCGCCCGCGACTCATGTTTTGGAGATCCTCAAAAAGTGGGGTGCCTGCTGCAGCACCGATGAGGTGTGCTTCCGTGCTGTTCCTCCGCTCAGGTCATGATGGTGGTCACGCTCACGCATGCCATTCCAGCATTAATCATTTACTATCCAGTCTTTCTTCTGGCAGCAGCCTTCATTATCAAGTTTCGCCGCTCTGAAGACAAGTTTCAGTCCGTCGATGTTGCTCTCGAAGGCCGCTCTTGTGACCGGGCTGAGGCTCTTGGCTGGAGTTGCTGGGCCTGAATCCCGATGGTCGAGCTGGGCGTGGCCTGGTGTTGCCCGGCCAAAGTGCACTGACCCTGCTTTTGGGAGTTTGCGTGCGAAAGTGGGATGCCGTGCTGTGCGGAGGATGGCAAGTAATTCTTTCGTGGCCGTTGTGTCAATTCAGTCACAGCCTCAGTCGCTGCGAACAAGCAAGCGCAGTGTCCTTTTGTAAACCGTAAGCGCGCTGTGAGCAAGAGATCCATTCCAGGAGGCTGTTCAGCTTAAGCCCTGTAAGAGTTTGGAAGTCTATGCAAATTTTTTCAGGGCAGCATGAAGAACTCTCAAGATTGCAGCAGTGGCATGATGCGAGAGACCGGGACGGCTAGACCTGGAACATGAAGTCAGGACAATGATCGCTTCCATCATCCGGGTGTACTTTGGGGATGCTTGGAGCCAAGGATATTTGGCTCCGTTGACGCTTCGGCAGCACGTAGAACGGGCATACTATGTCTACTATTTCAGCTTTGTGTCGGTGCGTCTGTCTGAGGGTTTGGCATGTTCAGCGTTTCCTGAACCATGCGGTAGCGGAACTAGGTTCGTAGATAGTGGCTACAATAGGCCCAGAAGCAGCAACATAGCATCACAGACAAGGTCAGTGTAAACGGGTCTGCTTACCTCTTGTTCTGCGGTCGGGTAACAGCCAAGCTCGAACAGTGCAGGAAGGATGACGTGGCATCAAGGACCGTCGGTGCATGGGCAACAAGCGGGAAGTCCTTGTAAGCAAAAGTGGAGCGGGCACAAGGAGCTCCAAAACGTTCTACGAGTGTCATCTTCGAGCCGGTATGGGCTCCTTGACCTGAAGATGGCACACCAAAGACCAAGACCAAGATGTATACCAGCTGACCGATTTCGTCCTGGCACTTGCTTTTCTGCTTCCTGCCGTGGTGTTGGCTCAAGGCTTGCCAGGAGTCTGTAGCGTCTGTAGTCAGTGCCCGTTGCTCCTACACGACATGGAGGACGCTTTGCACGGGTGCTTATGCCGTTCGGAGCGTCGGCCTAGACTCTATCTGCAGGAGACTTCGACTCTCGCACAGCAAAGATCAGACATCAGGTGGCTGGATGTGTTTTGGGCGGCTTGATTATCATCTCTACCCCAGGGTTAATTTGTAACGAAGCCACTGACTGTATGCTAGGACGGAGACATGGTAAGATACTGCACTGGAGCATGCCAGCCTGAGAGGGCTCTGGGCGACAACTTCGCTGCCCATCCGGTGAAGTTTTTTTTCAGTTGTGTTGCCGCTGTGCCGCAGTTGATAACGACAGCAGGATCGGTTTAATATTCATGATGCTGCAAGAATCTGTTTGCATTGTAGGGTCAATCTAGTACTGGTGCATTGGACGATGTTAATAATCAATAACAGCGATATCTGGAGGAGATCGGTGAACTTCTGACCTCCTTACCTGTGCCATCAATGGCCCTGCTAGACCCCTGGAGCTTGAAGCGAGCAGCCTTCGCAAAAAGGAATGGCCAGGCTTGCTGCTTTTCCGGCTTCCGCGAAGCTTCATCAAGATGTGGCCACCAGTTCGTCTGGATACAGTTGTAAGTGGCAGATGGGTCTGCTTCGGTTACACATCGCACGGTCCCGAAGGATTCGAGCTGGCTTCGCACATCTCCAAGCTGCGAGAGTGGCTTGCAGGCGAGGTGGCCAATGGAATGTGGTCTTCAGCTTAATGGGGCATTCCTCCAACGAACAAGAACCGTGGGAGCCCGATGTGTCGTGAATGGATTGAACATGATGTTCAGGATGCGGGGTGAATCCGTGACGGGAAAGGCTTTTATTTTGTATATCTCGCGATGAGTGCTTACGTGCGGACTTATCCAAGGTGAAGCAGTCTGTCGTCAGCTACAGCTTGGCAGTGAGTGTATGCCAACAGACGTTCAAATGGTCCGAGGCCCTAGCTATTCTCGGTTCCATGCTGCAGCGGCTGGTTCCACCAGATGTATACAGTCTGACGAGTGCGGTTAAGTCTTGCGCGTTTGGCGGGCTCTGGCAAAGAGCAGCTATGCTCATCCACGACATGCAGGAAGTCCACTTGTCGCCCAACCAAGTCACTTATGCCAGTTTCCTTAGCACCCTCGAACAGGAAAGCCAATGGCAATTGGTGCTGGACACACTTTGCCTAATGTGGCACGGCCGGCTTCTCCTCGATGATTTCTGCTGTTCTGCGGCTACCAGCACGTGCACGAGATCCGCAAAATGGCACATCGGACTGCAATCTGTCAACACGATGCAGAAAAAGGGATCATTCTTGAATCATGTGAGCATCAATGCAGCGATTAACGCATGTGGGCAGGGAGGTCTGTGGAGCGAGGCAGTGAAAGCATTGCACGACATGCGAGGCCAACGCTCTTGTCTTGACCTGGTTACGTGCAATGCTGTGGGCGATGGTCTGGCATCAGGGCAGCTTTGGGAGGAGGCTCTGCGTTTATTAAGGAGTCTGCCATGCCTGTCCTTCTTCCCCAACGAAATTAGCTTTACAAGTGTAATGACAGCCTTGGCGGCATGTGAAGATTGGCAACGTGCATTGACTATGCATGAAAACATCAGGCATGCTGCACTTCAACAAAACGAAGTCAGCTTTGGTGCTAGTATCAGCTTGTGTGAAAAGAACGGCCAGTGGTCGAGAGCTCTGGCAGTTTTCCGAGACATGCTTGCAACAAGTGTACGGCCGGATTTGGCAATCACAAATGCAGTTCTTAGTGCTTGCGAAGTTTCCGGCAACTGGGATTTTGGCGTTGACTTCCTCACCAAATCAGAACTGATGGACCGACCTCGGTCACCGTCCGTCTTACTCTGGTCTCTCGCAAGGCTGAATGTCAGGGATCCTGCAGTTCTTCATTCGGCATTGGCTGAGGCAGTCTGTGACTTGCGCCAGAACTCCCATCGACCACAACAATTATCTACGTTGTGGTGGGCAGGTCAAATGCTAGGTGCCTCTAGCGAGGTCTACACGAAGCTTCTCACGGAGAGGAGCTTGTGCCGTCTCGAGGACTTCACTTCTGAAGAGCTCGCGATGTCTTTGTGGGGTATTTTGGGTAATGCTGGACATGACCTCTTGCGAGCTTCACAAGAAGAGTGGGTTGTGCGCATAGACAGCTTGCTCTCAAAGAGTGAGTTTTCCATGCAGGATTGGAGGAGTGTACGAAGCCACATATTCGGGAGCTTGTGGGCTTGCGCTTATGTAGATATGGTGAGCCAAAGTTTTCGGGTGGCTATCCAAAGGCTCACGCTAGTAGCAGGGCTTGCTTCCGACAGGAAGCCTTTAGTGAAAGCCATTTCAAGCCCAATGTGCTTGCATCGCGAGCCCTTCGAGCACGTGCTTGAGATGCAAGGGAAGCCAAGCATCCTTTCTGAGATCCCTGACCTTTTCGTGCTCTTGAAGCCACCAGGCTGGGAAGTGGAGCCCCGAAGTGCGATCGGTGGTGAATTAAACTACCGCTCGCTGCACTCGCTACTGGCCTCGCGAGAAGATGCCGAGCTCGCTCCCATCTTGTTTGATGCCGAGGCCACTTTCGGCTTCCTGCATCGCCTAGATGTGCCAAGCTCCGGACTTCTGGTATGTGCTAGAACGTATGAAGCCTACTATGCTCTCAGAGTGCAATTAGCTGCTCGTGAGATTCTCCGCGAGTACAGGGTGCTCTCGCATGGATGGGTGAACGAGCAACGGGCCGAAGTCAGGGCGCAAATCTACTGGCGTGGTGGCCTGCCGAGCCTGAGCGGCGGTCAGGGCAAGCCCAGCCTTAGCTACCTGAAAGTCATACGTCATGGATATTTGGCATTTCCGGATCCACTGGTAGCCGCGGTGACGGTGGGATCTATCAGGATTGCGACGGGGCGGAGGCACCAGATTCGTTGCCACCTAGCTCACATGGGCCACCCGGTGTGCAGAGACGACACATACTCAAGTGAAGCAACAAGCACTTTTGATCGAGCTTGGTGTCCGAGAAATGCATTACATCGTTGCAGAATTCGGTTCAGGGACGTGCAAGGTGTAGAGCGCGAGATATCGGCTCCCCTCCCCGGTGACTTGGTGGATGTGTTGCAGCACGTCAGGTCGCGCGCTTGTTAAGGAAACAATGCGCAAGTTTGAGGTCGAGGCGTTCAGGTTGTGTCTGTGGCGGCTGAAGCGCCATAACTTGACCTTCAAGTGTGGAGGTACAAGCTCCGGGATAGAGTCAGATCTTTGTTTCAATTTTCCCTTCCTCAAAGCCTTCCATGAGCCCGCAAGTTCGGTGAAGCCGTCCGAACCAGACCACCCGGATTTTTTGCCGACGGCCCTCAAAAACGCTTGCAGCATGTTCTCATGTCTCATCTTGTCTTAGCTCCAAATGCTGCGAAGCGACAGACGACAGGCCGCTGACTCTGCGCTCGGCCGAAGAAAGCAAAGCTGCTCCCAGACAGTGGCCGGCCTCAAATCTCCGACAGAGGGTGACATTGTTCACGCAGGCAGTAGTGACACAGTGTCGAGCACCATGGTTTAGTGTTGGCCGTTCCACGTGACACTTTCATGACTCTCAGAACGTTGAGTTGCAACGCATCCAAGGAGGCTCCGGCCTGCATCCGCACCCTCCGGTCGTGGTCGAGACACTCCTTCAGCATTTTGCCAGCGTGTTTACCAGATTGCGTGAGCAGATGCTCGTAGAGCAAGTCTCAGGAATGTTCGCCAGGTCATGATCGGCAGCGAAGGCCGTTGTGTAAACTGGCTCGGACGTGTAAGGTTGAATGTAATTTCTATCTGGGCATGTTGCCACTCTTCAGGAAGATGCCGCTCGCATGTGCTCCTCATCGGTTCAGCGCAGATTTGCAAGCATGGGGCCACCACAGGCTCACGTGATAAGCTGATGCTTGTCTTGAGAGCGGAGCGGAGAGGTACATGCAGGCAGGTATGTCCCCGTGAGGACGCAGTCGATCAACAAAGCAGTACTGGCTCGCAAAGAGCGGGAGCAAACAATGCTGGGTTCTTATCCTGAGAGGCACGTCTGGGAAGCGTGCTGGGCCGACATACCGCTGGACAAACCGCTTGTTTCATACTGCTGCGCAGGCCGAGAGTCTCAAAGAACATGAAGACGTTCGCACTAAGTGCATTCTCCATGTACCCCATCATGCCCTTTTTGGTGGCGATGCCACAGCATCTTGTCTGCAGTCGAGATTTGGGATTCTGCGGCTGGAAGTTTGTCTGTTGGATCTGGATCCACAGGCGAAGTCAAGGAAGGACGCCTGTTCGAGTTTCCACGCAGTGATCTGCTGCTAGCCAGTGCACTTCGATCGTAGATACGTTTCCGAAGATGCACCGGCTTAGACGTAGCGCGAGACTAGGGTTGGAAGTATGATGCTTCGCAAAGCACGAGGAAAGCCGGGCAAAGGACCTGGTCTCATTTGAGTAGAAGGCTCCTGAAGGGAACCTGAACCGATGATCGTTCTGTGCAAGATCGGAAAAGACTGCCGACTATCACTGGCAACCGAACTATTTCTTGCGAGAAGGAGCAGAAGCTTCAGGATTACTAAGTGTTCGGCGTCCACATAGAACTGTTTCTGATTCTGGGTCCGGACAGCCCAGGTGCACTGCATGACCCTGACTTTGTGAATCTCTTCCTGCGCTGACGGTCTCCTTGTACATAGACTCGTGTAGACTCTTCAATGCACGGGGCGATGTTCACCCGATTGCTCAGCAGAGCTGCTGACGCCTCGCATGGCCCACAGGGCCCCCAAGATACGTCTAAAGCGCTGGAGCTGCGTCGGTCCACACTGCATGCCTGGTGTTGGATCTCAATTTCACTTAAGAGGAGCTCCTTCTGCCAAGGCCGGCTACCAGGCTCCGCTTTCGAGGTGTACTGGACCGGGTGGCGTGCGGAACTTAAGCGAATGGCGGAGGCGCAGAAGGTGCACGCAGCAACTCGCTCCCACTCTGCAGAACTAAGATCTTGAGCAACGCATCAATGTTTGGGATATCATCGGCATTGCAATGCCCTCAGCATGCATTGACCTATATACTGGGAGAATCTTCTTTGTGATGCACATCACCTGGCCAGGCTTCGTCACGTCGTCCAAGAGGATCAGCAGTTGCGCTTTTGTAGTGCGGGAACTTTCCACAGCTTTGCACAATCTGCAGGCGCTGAATGCACCTGTCTCCATAGAGGACGCCAGCATCGGCAGTCAAACACTTCGGCCTGGCATGCACACTTGCAGGAGTATCTTTCTCACGTGCAGGGACTTTCCAGCTTTGGCTTCAAGCAGCAGCCCCGGAAAGTAGCTTTTCATGCAGACAAGTTTGAACATGATGCAGCCTGGTATTCACTTCTTTATTGCATAAGTCCTACATGTGTAGTATTGTGAGCCCCTTCCGCCCAGCATTTCGATGTGATTTCGTGGTTGGTCTTGTGGCAAGCAAGTGTTGTTGGAGATCGAGTGTTTCGGGTTTGTTTATGCACTTGCTGCAATGAGCTTTCGGTCCTCCGTATTCCCAAAACAGTACAGCATGGTGGAAGGATGGCGGCCGGGGCCTTTCCCCATGCACGCTTTGTTCGAGGTTGTCTCTTCAGAATAAGCTGTGCAGAGGGGCCACGGTGGACGGAATCTGAGCTCCTTGGGCCCTTCAAAGCTCTCATGGTCCTGGGCGGCTGGGACGGATGAGTGTGCCGGAGAACCTGAACTGGCGCTCCCCATAATCTTTTGGTATCCCCCGGTGCCGGTGGGGTTTTATCTAAATGTGCGTACACCATGACGGTCTGTGTGTAGTGCGACTTTGTTACTACGGAATGGCGCAAGCACACACGTGCAACATGCAAGTAGTGATATGCAGGACGACGCGCATTACAGACAAATAGTTGGGGTTGTCGAAAGTGCAACAGACGGTGGATGTTTTCTTGATTCGCATCTGCACTGAAGGTCGCAAATTGCCTTATTATAGGAATATGGAATTCGCGTGGGGGTTGGGAGAAGCATGGCTTGACTGCGAGGCCGTGCCGAGCCTGCAGCGCAGGGTACTCTCCTGCCACTTGCGGCTTGCAATAGATGGACAGATCTAAACTCGGACCTGTCCGATTGCCAAAAAGTCGTCGGCCAGAAGAAGGCTGAAATGGTGGATTCTTTCCCAGGCGATACTGTGCAATCTACGAAAACCTAAAGCAGAGAACCTCGGCTGTCTCTGCATGCAGCGACTCCGATTTTTTGATTTTTTGTTAAGCCATCCTATACGACTCCCCCAACCGGACCTGCCTTTCGTGCGTGTCTGGGAGTGGGGCTTCAAGTAGGAAGGTTCGTAGACCCAGGTTTGCGAACATTTTGTGAGGATTCTGGAACATTCGGCGTTCCGGGTTGCATTTCATAGATTTCGGGAGTTTGGGCTTGGAGTCAAAGCATCCAGCATGTCGGCCTGGTGTTTGGGTTTTTGGGATGGAGGGCTTCGGGCTTGTTGAGGACTCAGGCCTTCGGTCTGGGCTTCAAGGCTCCCAGCATGCAGGCGACCCCCCTTGCATAAGATTGGTCTCATTTGGGGCAGAGCACGGTTCGTAAATCGGAGGATTTTCGAAAGGGGATGGACTTTGTTTGGTGGTCCGCGGAGTTTCAAGTTTTGGTTGGGGTTTCGGATTAACTCTATTGGGATTCTATGATTGGGATTTTGGATTCCAGATTGATATTCTACTTGTGGGTTTGTCAGCAAAATGAAGACCTCCTCCAGGCATGTTGGTATCGGGTATGTTTCACCTGTATGTTTGGGGTGTGTTTCGGGGTACGTTTCGTGTGGGGTACTGGTCGCAGCAGGAGTAGTAGTAGTAGTATTAGTAGTAGTAGTAGTAGTAGTAGTAGTAGTAGTAGTAGTAATAGTAGTAGTAGTTGTAGTAGTAGTAGTAGTAGTAGTAGTAGTAGTAGTAGTAGTAGTTGTAGTAGCAGAAGAAGAAGAAGTAGTAGTAGTAGTTTTTTGTCACCCCCTAATAGTTGTTGTTATTATATCAATGGTGATAATAATCGGAATAGGAGCAAGACTGAGACTAAGAATAAGAATATATCTCTACTATCCTGAAGAATATTCTGAGAAATCTTGAACATATTTTTTTATATTACATTTTTACAGCGCGTATTTTCGTAGACGATTCTTATAATTCCCCACATTACTGTGGGGTTTCTGTTTTTCTGCCCTGCACCGCCCCGCCCCAACCCGCCCCACCCGGTTTTGTAGTCCTACAGTAATAGCGGTAGTAATGGACCTCAGAAGCCCCGCCTGTGTGGTGCGAGAGTACGAGTCGAACCCGCCCCGCTCCTCCCCCCGGGTCGGCGTAATAGGTCTCGTATACAATACTAATAATTGATCTACTACACTAATATTCGTATATAGTACGACTGAAATACAACACCAACTCTCTCGAAGAATCTCGAAGACTCTCCCGCGACGTAAATCCTCTCGTCCGAGGGCTCTCTGGGGCTCTTGTAGGGATCTTATTGGATCACGCGCGCGCAAAAAGATCTTTACTCTCTCGAAGATTCTCTCGCGACTTAAATCTTCTCGTCTGGGGTGCTTCTAGGACTCTTGTTGGATCATGCACGCGCAAAAACGTCGTGATTCTCCCGAAGACTCTTCCGCGACTGAAATCCTCTCGTCGGACGCCTGGGGCTTTAATAGGACTTTTATTAGATTATGCGCGCGCACAAATAGATCCTGACTGTCTCGAAGACTCTCCTACGACTTAAATCCTCTCATCGGAGGCCCTTCTGGGACTTGTATTAGATTATACGCGTATAAGAAGTCCTGATTCTCTCGAAAATTCTCCCGCGACTTAAATCCTCTCGTCTGAGGCCTCTCCGAACCTCTTATAGGGTTCTTTCTGGATTATGCGCGCGCAAAAGGCTCTTGATTCTCCCGAAGGGTTTCTCGCGACTCAAATCCTCTCGTCCCAGATCTCTCTGGGGCTGTTATAAGGCTCTAATTAGATCATACGCGCACAAAAGGTTCTTGATTCTCCCGAAGAATCTCTCGCGATCCCGAAGACTCTCTCGCGACTTAAATCCGCGACTTAAATC